CATTTTTTGCAGGTTTTAAAGATCTTGAAGCAACTTAAAGCCTTTTTGTAGGTACTTTGAAGATCTTGAAGCCTTTTGAAAGCAACTTGAAGCCATTGCAGGCGCTTTAATTTGATGTTTTGTAGGTTAATTGCTTCGAAACTTGACGTTTGTTGTTGAAGATTGCACCACTTGAATCCCGGAGGCACATCAGTAGCTAACGTTAGTGAAGAATCAGAGGACTACACAGAGATTTTGTACCTGCACATTAAATTATATATATACACTGTAAACGAGATTTTGTGAATATATACAAAGTTTACTTTTTTGTGTTTACAGATTTTGGCACACCTAGTGGGACCACTCTGCCTCGCATCTCTTCACTGTTGATTCACGAGCTCTATAAGGAAGGCAAATGGCATCAAGAAATCCCTCCTCTAAGATGAGCGTACGGTCAAGCTACCCGCTCCAAGGCATCATCCGTGGCCGGTTCCGGTGACATCCAAAATGTGGAAGGAGCAATGACTCGGAGCCGAGTGTGGAACCTAGGGGTGCAGCTGCACGAGGCCCAGGACATCGCTCGACACATCGTTCGAAGGATTGACAGAATCTCCACCATGTCACGAAGAGCTATACGTAACAAGGGGTCATCCGCTACAATGGAGGTTGTTGACAACAAGAATCCTACAAGCGAAGGAACTCCCAGCAACAAGATTCCTGTGAGCCCTACTCCCTCGAATAAAACCCCATGCAGTGGAAGCTCACCACAGTCATCACTTCTGCGGAGAACCTCACCGGATTGCAATCACATCTACACAATCATGCCCGCTATGACAACGAACGCAGCTTCGGTGGAGGAACAACTAGCAAACATCGCCAAATCTCTCGAGGGAATAACTATGCTCATATATGACCAATACAGGAGGATTAATGAGCTCAGTGAAAAGGTTAAAAGCGGAAGAAACGGCGAAACAAGTCGAGCTTCCAAGAAGCAGCCTCAAACCCAAGGAGATGAGATTGATGTCGAGTCACCGCGTCATCAAAGTAAGCCAAGAATGGAAGAGACAATCTCTCGTCCATCACCCGCTGAGAAAAGCATTCCAATTTCTGAGAGCACGATACCTGTCGAGCAGTTGAACGACTACATTATGGGAGCGATCAAAGGAAAGCTCGAGGGAGGACAATCTTCATACCCTTACACTAAGACCTATACTCAAAGGATTGAAGAAATGAAGATGCCGCTGGGCTATCAACCTCCCAAGTTCCAACAGTTCGATGGAAAAGGCAACCCACGGCAGCACATCGCCCACTTCATTGAAACCTGCAACGATGCTGGAATATACGGAGATCTCCTCGTCAAGCAGTTCGTCCGCTCTCTGAAGGGCACTGCCTTTGATTGGTATACCGACCTGGAGCATGGTTGCATTGATAGCTGGAATGATATGAAGCGCGAGTTCTTGACCCGCTTCTACAGCACAAGAAGGACTGTCAGCTTCTTGGAACTCACCACTACCCGCCAATGGAAGGGTGAGCGTGCGGGCGCTTACATCGAGACATGGAGGGAGTTGTGCCTTAAATGTAAAGAGAGGATATCACAAAGCTCTGCAATTGAAATGTGCATCCAAGGGATGCACTTCAAGCACTCTTATATCTTGCAGGGAATCAAGCCCAAAACATTCAAAGAACTATCCAGTCGTGCTAACGACATGGAGTTGAGTATTGAAGCCAATGGAGGGCTCGACATGTCGAGTATCCCTAGCTCATCCAAGGCACCTGCAAAACAAGAATTCAAGAAAGGGGGCAAGCCATTCCCGAAACAAGAAAAGAAGGAGGCCATGAACGTGAGAACAACACCAATGCAGGTTTTCACCAAAGTGACTGAAAATCCAAGGCCAAGGTCATTTTCCCACCCATCAAGGGGAACAAGAATTATTGAAGAGATGCAGCAAAGACAGTATCTATTCCTCGATTCTGATGTTTCGCCCATGTTGGATGAGTTGTTAAAACTCAAGTTAATTGAATTACCAGAGATGAAGCGTCCCGAAGAAGCCTCTAGGGTGGACGAACCCAACTATTGCAAGTACCATCGTTTCCTTGGACACTCGATTGAAAAGTGCTTCATCTTTAAGGATAAAGTGATGGCGCTTGCTCGTGATGGAAAGATTGAGCTTGCTGATGCAACTACAAGCACCAACCAAATTTCGTGTGGAAGGTTTGCCCCGTTACTTGTAGACAATGATGAAGATGATGGGGGCACACAACCCAAATGCCCGCTTCCATTTATTGTGAAACATGTTGCTATGCAGCCTCCAAAGTCGCCTCAGGTCGATCCTGTCTGCGAGGGAGATTGGGTAGTTGTTACCCATAGAAAGTAGAAGAACAATGTTAGAGAACTTAGATCATTGGAGAAAATTACAAAGCGATGGGTTGAGAAAAAGCCAGCGGGGAACCTCGCCCATAACACAAAGATGAAAGGACGTCCCGACAAGTCTCGAACACTAGTTGCCCTGGCTCAATACATGCCAAAGGCGCTTCCTCTGCATGGGACAAATATTCCGGGAACTCGCTTGAATATTAAAGAGAGACATGTTGAAGAGGGGGAATGTTCATTCCCCGTGATTGAAGGAGGTGACGAGGTTCAAGTCCACAAAGCTGCGTCTTATACCACCGAGATAAATTTTAAAGATGAGGATCTATTGCTTGGTGGTACACCACATAATCGTCCGTTGTTTGTTGAAGGTTATGCCGCGAGCAAAAAATCAAAAGGATCTTGATTGACCAAGGATCGGCTGTGAACATTCTGTCACTCCGAGCTATGAAGGAACTTCACATCTCCACTGATGAGCTCTCTCAAAGCCGCTTAATGATTCAAGGGTTTAATCAAGGCGGACAAAGAGCACTAGGTACCATCAGATTCGACCTCAGGATTGGAACACAAAACTCAAGTACACTATGTTAGGTGATAGATGCAAGGACGTTTTACAACTTGATGTTGGGCCGGCCTTGGATACATGAGAATGGAGTAGTTCCCTCATCCTGGCACCAATGCCTCATGTTTGAAAAAGGCAGGGTGATAGAAAAGGTAGTCGCTGATGAAACTCCCTTCATCGAAGCAGAATCATATTTTGCAGATGCAAAGTTTTACTTGAAGAAACAAGTTGTAGAGGAGGCTGACCAAAGCGATGTTGACACACCTCCTAATCTAAAGTGGAAAGGCAAGCAAGTTGTAGACCAAGCTCATTGCAACAAGGAACTTGTTTTCCCACTTGCAAGAATTGAAACATTAAAAGCAGTTCCAGTTAAACTGCTTAAAGATGAAGCTCAAGTTGGGACAAGTCAAACAGTGCCCGCTAAGCGCACTAGCGGCTTCGACCCTAATGCCTATAAACTTTTATTCAAAGCTGGATATAATCCCAAAGAGCCACAGAAGCTGGGGAAACTCATCCCAGAAGCTGGCGGTAAAGGCAAGTAAAACCAGCAGGAACCGCATGCACGCAAAGGATTGGGCTATGTTCCCCCTAAGCCAGTGCGAATATTCATAAACAGAGCCACCAGTAACTGCATCACTTCTACGGATGAGGAGGAAAGTGACAAGAAGCAGTCTGTGTTTGATAGAATCGGAGATATAGAATCACGACAATTAGTCTTCCGTAGGATTGGGCCGAATCCCAAACCTGCTAAGAGGAAATCAGTACATGACAGAATTGGGGCTACTCAGAGTTCGAAGGAGCAAACCAACCCTCCTACTGAAACGGAACCCTAAAAAAGGCTTAGGAGTGCCGTTCCGTCTCGTATGAGACGAGAAATTGATATCCATGTCTCGTGTGGTGAAGTTTTGAAGGTCCAACCAAGAACTATTGTACACACCCAAGTGCAAGGAAGAAATCAAGAGAACATTGATTCAAGTTGTGAGGCAATACCAAGTCAAGTTGAGATGGCATCATCATTTCATATAACATTATAGGATGAGATTCCAACCGAGGGTGAAGATGCAGAGGATGCACCCCAAGAGTTAAAAGAAGGGGTACAAGCCGCAGTGGATGAACTAAAAGAGGTTGATCTAGGAACTCTTGAAAATCCTCAACCTATCTTCATTAGTTCACTCCTTTCCAATGAAGATGAAGAAACATATGTCACACTTTTGAAAGAATATATTAATGTATTCGCATGGACATACAAGGAGATGCCAGGGTTGGATCCAAAGGTAGCCGTGCACCGCTTGGCAATGAAAAAGGGGTGTCGCCTTGTTAAGCAAGCTCAACGGCACTTTTGCCCCGAGCTCATTCCCTCAATCGAAGCAGAAGTCAACAAGCTTATAGAGGCTGGTTTCATTCGCGAAGTTAAATACCCAACATGGATATCCAGCATTGTGCCTGTGCGCAAGAAGAATGGCCAGATCCGCGTGTGTGTAGACTTTCGAGATCTTAACGTTGCATGCCCGAAAGATGACTTCCCGCTCCCTATCACAGAGTTAATGATAGATGCTGTAACTGGACACGAGATCATGTCATTCATGGATGGCTCATTCGGTTACAATCAAATCCGCCTGGCTCCAGAAGATGAGGAGTTTACATCGTTTCGTACGCGAAAAGGTATCTACTGCTACAAAGTGGATGCCCTTTGGTTTGAAAAATGCAGGTGTTACATACCAAAGGGCTATGCAGACTATATTTGACGACATGCTTCATAAAATGGTGGAATGCTACGTAGATGACCTGGTTGTGAAGTCGAAACTCCGCACAGATCACATGATGCATCTAAGACATGTCTTTGACCGCTTGCGAAAACTTCAACTCAAGATGAACCCCCTGAAATGTGTTTTTGGTGTTGCTGCTGGAAAATTCCTTGGGTTTACTGTTTGACATAGGGGCATTGAGATCGAACAATTAAAGATCGACGCTATAATGAAGATGCCTGAGCCAAGGAACCTTCATGAGCTTAAAAGCTTGCAAGGGAAGTTGGCTTATATAAGAAGATTCATATCAAACCTAGCAGGAAGATGTCAGCCCTTTAGCCGGTTAATGAAGAAGGGTGTCTCGTTTGTATGGGATGAGGCCTGCAAGAATGCATTCCAAAGCATCAAGTCCTATTTAATGAAGCCGCCTGTGCTGACTGCTCCAATTCCAGGACGCTCGTTGATCCTTTACATCCCCACCCAAGAAAGCTCTGTGGGTGTTTTACTTGCACAAGAAAACAATAAAGGGAAAGGAAATGCTCTTTATTATTTAAGTAGAATGATGACGTCAAATGAGCTCAAATATCTGCCAATTGAGAAGTTGTGTCTGGCCCTTGTATTCGCAATCAGGAAGCTCAAGCACTATTTTGAAGCGCATACAATTCGACTAGTTTCCAGGGCAAACCCAGTGAAGTATGTCATGGCACAGGTTGTTCTTTCTGATCGACTTGCGAGGTGGTACTTATTATTTCAACAGCTTGAGATCACTTATGTACCACAGAAGTCCATCAAGGGGCAAGCCTTAGCGGATTTCCTAGCTGATCATCCAATTCCTGCCGAATGGGAGCTGTCCAATGATCTACCTTATGAGGATGTGCTTGTGGTTGAAGTTTTACCTCCATGGAAGATGTATTTTGATGGAGCGACACACAAAGAGGGGGCAGGCGCTGGAGTTGTCTTTGTTACGCCTGAAGGGGAAGTGCTTCCTTATTCATTTACCTTGATGGAACGATGCTCGAACAATGTTGCCGAGTATCAAGCACTCATTTTGGGACTTGAAATTGCAGTTGATATGAAGCAACTAAGGGTTAAGATATACGGGGACTCCAAACTGATTATCAACCAAGTACTTGGGGTTTACGAAGTAAAAAAGCCAGAGTTGATCCCATACAACGGTTATGCAAAGATGTTCCTACATTGGCTAGGATATGCTACAATGGAGCACATTCCAAGGAAACAGAATAAGCAAGCTGATGTCTTGGCTGCTTTGGCTTCAAGTATATCCCATCCTATAGATGAGCCTCGGTTGCGAGTATGCCAATAATGGGTGACCCCTCCAATCTTCGAAGACGATGGCTCTCTTGACGACATTGTTGAACTCCCGACTGCTTCTGTCTATGAGGTAGATAAAGAGGATTGGATGCAATCATTGATTGACTACCTTGTTGATGAGAAGTTACCTCAAGACCCTCGTAGGAGGGTAGATATAAGATGTCGAGCTCCTCGCTTCATATATTTCAAGGACGCGTTATATCGGCGCTCGTTTGATAGTGTGTTTCTTCGATGTTTAGGCGAAGAGGAAGCTTTACAAGCGATGGAGGAGGCTCACTCTGGAGTGTGCGGTGCTCATCAATCTGGTCCTAAGTTACATTTTCACATCAAAAGGATGGGTTACTACTGGCTTACGATGGTGAAGGATTGATTGCATAGACTATGCCCGTAGATGTCAAGCATGTCAATTCCATGTGAGCTTTATCCATCAACCTCCTGAACCGCTACATACGACGGTAGCATCGTGGCCATTTGATGCATGGGGGCTCGATGTGGTTGGTCCTATTACACCCAAGTCATCAGCAGTGCATTCGTATATATTAGCAGCCACCGGTTATATCTCAAAGTGGGCTGAAGCAGTGGCTTTAAAGGAAATGAAGAAGGAAAATGTTGCAGACTTCATCCGAGTTCACATTATCTATCGTTTTGGCATCCCTCGGTACATCCTAACCGACAACGGGAAACCATTCGATAATAAATTGATGGATAAAATCTGCAAACTTTTGAGTTCGAGCAAAGAAATTCATCAGTTTATTATGCATCCGCAAATGGACTTGCCGTGGCTTTTAACAAAACTCTATGCAATCTACTAAAAAGGTGGTGTCGAAGTCAAAACGTGATTGGCAAGAGAGGACGGAAGAAGCACTGTGGGCATACAGAACTACATACCGTACACCAAAACAAAGCACTCCATACTCACTGGTATATGGGGTTGAAGCAGTTTTACCTCTTGAACGCCAAATACCTTCTCTAAGGTTAGCTATCCAATAAGGGCTTACAAACGAGGATAATGTAAAGTTGCGGTTGGCAGAGTTAGAAGCTCTTGACGAGAAGAGGTTACAAGCTCAACAAAGTTTAGAATGCTATCAAGCTCGAATTTCTAGAGCTTTCAACAAAAGGGTGAGGGTCCGCTCATTCCAAATTGGTGACAAGGTATTGGCGGTTCGAAGACCTATCATTATTACAAGGAAAACCGGGCATAAGTTTACTCCAAAATGGGGTGGACCTTACGTAGTCCAAGAAGCATACTCAGGAGGAGCTTACAAGTTGATTGACGGAAATGGTGTGCGAATTGGCCCTATTAATGGGAAATTCTTAAAGACCTATCACCCCTAAGCACACGGACTACATAATGAATGATATCCACCGAAAATGTTGCACGTGGTTAAACTACTAAAACATCTCGCTTGTCTATGGGTGGGCCCAAGTCATAGACTCTCCTGACCCGCACGAGCTTAAACTGTGTACGGTAAACTCCTGGCCCGCATGAGTTTAAACTGTGAATGGCCCTACCTATTCAAATGGTCCTTTGAACTACGTTTGACTTGATCTCCTTTGCAGGGGTACGTAGGCAGCTTAGAAACACTTCCTCTTCTAAGTTCGGTCATAACTAAAATAAACCCCTTTGTGTCACGTTTGTTCAAAACAATATAAATGTATTGGAGTTTAGTCCTCTCTGTTCATGTTGTAATTAAGAGTAAATTCTTTTGACAGATTTCTATTTAAAGTGACTCATTTGAGTTTATACTTAGTTGCTTTTGTTCATGTTCAAGTTCAATTACTTTCTTCCAAGTATACTTTTTGCACTTGTAATCGAGAAAATTGTTTGCAAGTATTGTTGAAAAAAAGGGAATAAAAAAAAAAGAGAAGAGAATTCAAGTCATATTCAAGCCTTGTTTCTAAGTAAACTCATACTACAAATTAGCCGAAATACAAAAAAAGGTAAACAAATGGAAAATCGAAGAGCTAAGCGAAAAAAAAAAAATCTAAAGTATTTTAAAGCTCATGAGATCTTCCTTGTACGCTTCCTGCTCTCTTTTGATTAAAGTAAGTTTTTCTTCATCTTCAACCGTCAACGTGAGGCAGTCTTGAATACGTTTAACTTCCTCCTCAGCGGTGGTCACAGTCTTTTGCTATGCGTTATGTTGTTCTTGAGCCTCCGTCACACGGTCTTGGAGTTCTGGGTTCTTGGCCTGAATATCCTCCAACTCTTCCTGCGGATCCTTTATCGTTTTCTCCAGGAGGGTTTTTCGATCGGCAGCGTCTTTGAGGGCTTTCTGTTGGTCAAGAAGAAGTGCTTCGATTTGAGCATGCTTCAGTTGAGCTTCTCTAAGGACACCTTGCGTTAGATCTAGCTTCGCGACTTGGGTTTCAACGGGCAGTGCATTTGAGAGCTGCAACCGCGCCCGATCGTAATCTTTGGGTTTGTTAAGGAACTCGGCCACTCGTTGCTTCAATGTTGATAGGTCCACTCCATCCCGTCTCATTTCTTGGAGTTGTTTTTCAAAGCTTCCTTGGAAAGAAGAAATTCTTTCAGCTAGAATCTCATTAATCTTCCTGCAGATATTACTCCAAAGTCCTGCAATAAAAGCCATGTATTGTGATATAAACGACTCCTCGCCGGGAAAGATAGAGGCTTGGGACGGTTCTGGTTGCGCCTCTTGAGGAATTGTGTTTAAGGGCGGCGTCGATTGGTGAGATACTACCTCGATGTCAAGGGTATTAGAGTGTCCGTCACTTTGTCCCATCGAAGATTGGTGATTTGATGACTGGGCATCGTTGCTAACATGTGGCTCGACAGGATCCTGTAAGAAGTGGTACATGTACGTTAACAAAGGCCAAAGTTCAACGATATACGAAACGGGAAAAGTTTGGGGAGGTATTTTAACCTGGCTCAATGGTCTCCCTCTGGGTCGTTTCCAACAGCGATCTCGATCGTCATCACTAGCAGCATCCTCGTCCGAGCTTCGCTGCCTCACTTGGTCCTCCCTCCTCCTTCGAACTGCATGTCCTGAGGCTCTATCCCGAGATGACATGTCCTCTTGTGCAGGTGTTTTTTCTTTCCTCGAGATGGTTAATTGGTCTCTTTGTTCTTGAGTTCTTTCCTCACCAACGGGTATATTTGGGTTTCCATTAACGGCTATGTCCTTGAAACGATTCTCAAGAGGGTTTGCACTCACATCGATCAACCAGTCCTTGTACTCGTCCGAAAAATGATTTGGAGCAGCCGGGATCATGGGAAATGTCGCCCTGGATTAGGAGTTGATATTATCATATTGACGATGAAGTCAGAATCCTTCGGTGAGTGAAACATAGCGGACATCCTTCGCCAACAGGCCAGGGGCATATGCTTGATAGAATTGGTTAAAATATGAATAAATAATTGACTTTGGTTAAAATTAAATTTTTAGTAAAATATGAATAAATAATTGACTCCGGTAAAGACTAAATTTCCAGTAAAATATGAATAAACTTAAAATTGAATCATGTTTAGATTGAAACAAAGCATATAAATTTAAAATTTGAAATTTGAGATAAAACTTAAATAGTGTTATTGGACAATCTAAACAAAGCATATAAATTTAAAATTTAAAATTTGAAATTTGAGATAAAACTTAAATAGTGTTATTGGACAGGGACAAACTCCTGTTAAATATGAACCATGAATAATATACAAAATGTCTGATGCCAAAAGACATAAATGTATATAATTTGAATTGGAAAATATTTTATTAATTATTTAAACCCAGATCCTCAACCTCACATTGCTGAAAAGATTATGCGTGTGTAAACTTATTGGTGTATTATTGGCATGGTTGCAGTAGGCGCTAGGCGCTAGTCGGGCGGCCGGGCAGCGCCTAGCGCCTAGGCGCCGCCTAGACCGCCTAGGCGGATTCTAGGCGGCGCTAGGCGGGCACCAAAAAAATTAAAAAAAAATAGTAACAGACTTGTAGTTCGACAATTTTAATGAGGTTGTTTTCAACGTTCACTCAAATAACACATCTAAATAAATGAAATAATGATAATTTATAAGTCATAATGTCATAATAATATTAAAATCAATAATTAATGAAAGACGACATCGGTCAAAATCGGTCAAAATCGGACGAAATCGGTCGACTCGGCCGAGTTGGCCGAGTTGACCGACTCGGCCGAGTTGGCCGAGTTTGGCCGCCCAGGCCGCCTAGGCGGCCGGCCGAGTTTTGGCCAAAACTCCAAGGCTCGGGGCCGCCTAGCGCCTAGGCGGGCGCCTAGGCGACCGAGTTTTGCAACCTTGATTATTGGTATAAATAACATAATTTTATATTATTATTATTATTATTATTATTATTATTATTATTATTATTGTTGTTGTTGTTGTTATTGTTATTGTTGTTGTTGTTGTTGTTGTTGTTGTTGGTGGTGGTGTAAATCTATACTATTAATAAATTATTATTTTCTTATAAAATTATATAATAATTAATAAATCATTATTTAGTTAAACAATTACTCCGTATGTTATTACACAGAATTTACAAAGAATATTGCCAATTAATATATTACTTTCAATATAACAATTTCTTACCAATTAAGCTTTATTAATTATTTTACCAATAAATTAATTAATTAATATTAAGAAAAGTTTCAGCGGGAAAGTTGAAGAGGAGGATTTTACTTTTATTAATAGTATAGTATATAGGTATATATTCTAAAAACTTATGGATACTATACTACTATTAAAATATTTTATAAAGCCAAATATACTATATTGTTGCTATATATAAGTTGATTAAATGTTGAACTCCATTTCATCCTTATCAATAAAACCATAGAGGCTAAAAGACCAAAATATTAATTATTAAAAAAATGAAAAAGGTCAAATAGATTCTTAAACATTATATAGGATTTTAATGTAAATTGTAGTATGGATAGAAAAGTAAGAAACAATATATTTTATTAGAACCAATGACTGAGTGGTTCATTGGTATCCGGTTACTCCCCTAAGTGGGATGTGTAGGGTTTAAGTCTCAGTGTAGGCATAGATTGTATTCGTGGGTATTCCCCTTCCTTTGTAATAAAAAATATATATTTTATTAGAAATTGTATTACATTATTTTACAATATTACGCAACCTTTTAAGCCGGTTTTGGGTGGAAAATTAAAATGGAGGATTTTGTTTTTATTAAAAGAAGTATAGATAGATTATAGTACGAATAGAAAAGTAGGAAAGAATATATTCAATTAGTAATTATATTACTCTATTTTATAATTTTAGAATGGAATAAGGGTCAAATAGGCCACTCAACTGCACACCAAAGTGCAATTAGGCTATCGAACTAAAAAAAATGTTTGGGTCCTGAACAACACAAATTAATGCAATTAGGTCCAAATGACTCGTTTACCTTTTAAATTTTGCTGACGTGGTGGTTGTGAATTTAAAAAATAATTTTAAATAAAATAATTAATTAAAAAAAAAACATGGCCAGAGACAAACCTTCTCCGGCGGTCGAACTTCGTCTCCCTGACTAGGAGATGAAGGTCTCCATGGCCAGGAGGCCTTCGTCTCCCCCATGGCCGGAGACGTCTCCGGGCATCGAGGAGACGAAGGGCTTTATCTCCTGCCATGCCAGGGAGATGAAGTTCGCCGGCTGGAGACGATTCGTCTCCTGCCGTGCTGTTTTTTTTGTTTTGTTTTGTTTTGTTTTTTTTTTTTTTTTTTTTTTTTTTTTTTTTTTTTTGATTTTGATTTTTTAATTAATTATTTTATTTAAAATTATTTTAAAATCCAAAACCTCTCCAGCAGGTAAACATGTCATTTTAGATCTAATTGCATGAATTTGTGTTGTTCAGGGATCCAATTGCGTTTTTATTGAGTTTGATGGTCTAATTGCACTTTGGTGTGCAATTGGGTGGCCTATTTAACCCTTATTCCTTTTAGAATAGAAATTTTAATGTAGAATTACAATAAGAATAGAAAAGTAGGAAAGAATATATTCAATTAGAAATTGTATTACATTATTTTACAATATTAGAATGATAATTTTAATGTAGAATTATAGTAGGAATAAGAAAGTAAAAAATAATATATTAAAATTTGAGGATTTTATACGGGAAGTTAAGTTGAGTATTTTGTTTTTTATATATAGTATAGATAGTATAGATTAGGAAACCAAATTGACATCATAAACAAAAATTTAATAATGTATTTTTCTAACTAGTTATAGTCAATATTCTATCACAGAATTCGATCAATATACTTTCTCTAACCAATATCATACCTCCTTTGTGACTTCCCTCCTTCGGAGAGCAACAAAGGTTGCACAAATTAAATTATTTTCTTAAAAATAGCTTTCGTTCTTAAACTGCACAAGTATTTACAATCCCTAAACCGGCTTGTACTTAAACATCTGAAATTCGGTAAATTTTGTTCGATTTTCCGGTGCTCCGATCAATCGAGGCATGGGTGGTCACGGTGGTCTGAATATTCTCCCGCAAAAGCGATGGAACGTCTACAACTACGATAACCGCGAGAAAGTCCGCCGCGACGAGGAAGCCGCGGCTCGGGATGAGCAACTCAAACGCGACGACGCTCGCAAGCGGGATGCCGAGTTACGCCTCGAGAAGCTCCGGCAAGCGCGTGGATTAGCCTCCGATTTCGTCAACAAAGCCGCTGCACCTTCCTCCTCTTCCAATTCCAAATCCAAATCCAAATCCGAGGAGACGAGATTGGAGAACGATTCGAACCACATCAATTTGTTCGAAGGAATTCGAATTTTCGATCCGATTGAAGCTAAGCCTGAATCTAAAGACCAAAGGCCTATTAAGAAGGTGAAGAAGGAGCAGCCGCCTAGGGTTGTGACTGCCGAGGATGAGAAGTATAAACTAGGATATGGAATTGTTGGGAAAGGAACGAAATTACCTTGGTATATGGAAAAGCCGACCAAAAAATCTGATGAAAAGAGCGATGATGACGATGACGACTTGCAGCCGGCTAAGAAGAAGAGCAATGGGAAGAAGACGGTGGAGGAGTTGCGGAAAGAGAGGTTAGAGAGGGAGAAACGAGAGAAACAGAGAGAAAGAGCTCTGCTGAAGGAGAAAAGCGGCAGAGATGGAGGGTTCTCACGAAGATGAGGTGTGTATTTGTAACATCAACATTCTCTTCCAATAGCCTTCGCTGTTTATCTTTATGGATATGATAGTTTTAATTCCAATTGGTGTTAGTCTATTTTTGTTCAGATTGGTGCTGGTTTACTCCTAGTATTGCTGAATCATGTTTGAGTTTTAACTTTTAATTGCATGATGAATGACCACGAAAATTTAACTCTATTTCATATTATGCTTCATAGTGTTCTTGTAAATGGTGTGTTTGTGTTTCCCACTGTATCTTCTTATGAGCAATATTAATAGCTGCATGGAAATTGAGCTTCTTTCCAATGAAGTCAGTCTGGCAGTGATTGACTTGCATATGTTCCATCTTGTTCCTGTCTGCACTCTAGAATTTAAGAATGAATTCGTATACAATTGTTGAATCTCAGAGCGGCACTATGCTGCCTTTACCGATCCGGAGAGTCAAGCACGAGTTCTTTCATTATCTGATTGCCATATCTTTCTTAAAAGCAGTTGGTGATAGGTGGACATTAACTATTTAGAGCAACCACAATAGTGGTTTTTGCTCAGTTTTTGAGGAAGAAAAAACCAGGCATTTTTTACACTAATGGGACTATGGGAGTGGTGGTTTTAACTTGGTTTTTTATAATGCAAGGACTTGGTTTTTATTGGGCCCACATGGAAAAAGAAGCTGAGAGGCGCGATGAGTGTATTATTTGCCAAGCATGGCGCGTAAACCAGGCTTTTTACGTTTTTCTTTTCTCCCCTTTTTTCTCTCTCCCTCTCTCTCCTAGTTGCACCTCAAAAACCTCACAAAAATTACAACTATTGAGGATGCTCTTAAGTCTTAACCATGGTAAGCCACAATCGGGGCTGAACGCAGCTTACCCGGCCCACGCCCAACAACAATCACAGCTATGGAGTGGTGAAAATGAATAACATTAAACTTGCATTTTGAACTTGAAAGATTAAGCAATTCAGGGTACTTGTTGGGAAGCATCTAAAGATATTGATATGCTTGTTCTGGGCTTGAAATATTTAACTGGCGTCTAGTATTTGTTGCATAGGTTTTGAATTTCATAATTATGGTTTCTTATTTTTATGTTTGCAGGATGATTAGTGCGAATTAGTTCTACTCTGTATCTCTTTTATATACCAATGGATCAGAAATGGAAATTAAAGTTGGCATCTTTGGAAGCATGTTGGTTGTGTGCGCAAATTGTGTACTGGCACTGGATCTCAGTCCTTAACTGCGTTGAAAGGATGATAATGATGACCCTCTCGGATTTACCTGTGTCGGGTTTGCTTGCAGCCAAATATTTCAGAGGATTATAGAGCCTTTGGTTGCTTCTTTTGTCTCACTTGACTGCCCAGTAAGAGTTCATGCTGTTTCCTCTAGTATGTTGCTGGTAACAGTGTAGCTATTGTCTATTGAAGCATATCCAAAATGGCGTCCTTTGCATTTTTATGATGTTTTTAAGGAACCTAAATTGATGTTTTTTAGACTTCTATGCCCCCCACCCCCCCCCCCCCCCCCCCCCCCCATATTGGCAGACTGCAATCTTTGTGACATTCTTTGTATGTGAAGATGGGTATTCTTTGTATGTGAAGATGGGTATGTACTGAATTGGAATGTCTTAAAATGTAATTCTCCCAATGGACCCATGTATGCTAAACGTTCCAATCTGACATGATTTCTCTTTCAAACTAAGAGCAACATTATTAGAGGTTATTTTGGGGAGAATGTCAGATCAATTAACTCTTGTTCAAGATCATAGCTGATGCGGGAATGAATTAAGGGGGCGTTTGGTTCAGGTTATATAACATAACCAAGGGAATGTGACATTTCAAAGCTCACATTCCGGTGTTTGGTTCATATTATCTTAGGGAATCTAACATTCCCAAGGAATGTCACATTCCCTCCACATAGGATTTTGAAGGGAATGTGATTCCCTTCAAAATCTTAGGTAATGTAAGATAACCTTGATTATGTTAATTTATTTTATATATATATATATATATATATATATATATATATATATATATATATATATATATATAATTATTTTTGTAATTATATATATTTTTTATTTTTATTATGTTATGTTAGCATATAAAATAATTTTGTTTCTCAAGTTCAAGATTTTAGTTAATATTTTAAAATCATGTAATTATATATGATACCGTTATCTTATTTATTTATTTTAATTTTTAAATTTATTAAAATATATGAAAATATGTTAAGGATATTATAATGTGTATAAAAGATAACCCTAAACCAAACATCATTATATTACATACTCCAATTTTAAGCAAACACAGGAATCTAACATTCCCAGTAATCTAACATTCCCAGCAATCTAACATTCCCTAAGGTAATCTGACATTTCGTGAACCAAACGACCCCTAATTGAGAAATAATTGGCCTGCAACAACCCAACTAATGTCTAGAATTAAAAAAAAAAAAAAAAAGGCAAGGTGCGCGCTTGGCGCACCTTGCGCCCACAGCGGGCGTGTGTTAGCGCATGTGGAACACGCCCCCGCTGGGCGACTTTTGTTTAACTTTTTACTTTATTATTTTTTTTTGTTTTTGTTTTTGTTTTTTGTTTTTGTTTTTTAAAAGGGAAAATGTCACATTTTCTCTTGAGTTGTTTACTTATAGCATATTTCCCCCCTATATTGTTTATGTAGTCACTTTATCCCCTCAATTGTTTTTAAAGTGATTTTTTCTCCCTTTTTTTTTTTAAATAAATGTTTGAGCTGTTAAAAATGAGGGTAAAAATGGCATTTCATTTTTTTAATGGACCGCGTGCTGGTTTTTGCAACGTTCACCGGCATGAGAGTCGTTGACATCGAGTCGGTGGCGCGTGCTGTCCTGCCCAAGTTCTAAAGTTCTAATCCGGAGACTTGCGCCCGGAGACGTGGCGTGTTTTCTCGTCGTGTGGGAAGAGATGCTTGCTCACTGCGAACCCAAGGATCATGGTGGAGGCTTTCCTCAAGGAAAATTTGGGCGCTGATATGGTTATTGGGACAGATATTTCTACGTTTAAGGGCAGAGCTACAGGATTGGTAAATGAACCTGGAATCCTCGTCGCAAAAAACAACCCCGATGCTCTCCAAAATGTCTGTCTCGTCGCCAGCTCCAGACGTTGGAATTGGTAATCGCATGACTGATTTTCCTTTCATGAAATTATGCAAGGTTAGTTTCTCAGTCGTCCACCATTGAATCCGGCAAACTCCAAACTCCAAAGCTAGCTAGCAATCACATTTTCATTAATCCTTTTCACAACTAACTCCCAATTCAATGGCTTCCAGTGCTCTAGCATGCTTTGCTTCTCCCTTTGTATCAAATGCCTCCGTTTCCAAAACTTTCGTAAGGACGTCCGCTCCGTGCTCTGTTTTCTTCCCCTCTTCAGCCGGGAAACAGAACTGGACATGGAAACTTGCAACATAATCGGCATACAATTCCTTAAGGTCATTCATCACATTATGAAACAAGGGCTTACCAACTTCACCACCATATAATTGATTAAACTGATATGGCATGTACTCAGTCTTGTCCCTAGGGTCCAATATATTTCCATAAAAGATCAAAAAGTTCATATTGTATGGATCACCCCCGTATTTATCAAACTTAGCCTTCATATTCTTTCCCAAAAGATTAATAGATTCAGATTCAGCTCCCACCAGATCTTTTAATATGCAAGATAAATCAGAAACTTCAGAGAAGAATGTATTTGAAGTTACATACAAAGACCCAGAGATCCTAACAGTAATTTCATAAAATGATTTAAGAAATTTCACCAATTCCTTTACAGTTTCCCAATCCTTTTCATCAGGTATATTCACTCTCCCACCTAAATCAGAAATAAATGAAGATCCATGATCTTCATAAGCTTCAAACACTTTCTCATAAAGAAAAGCAGTATGCAACATCATATAGGTTGAGTTCCACCTTATAGGAACATCAAGAACCAAATAGTTTCTTGCTTCCACCCCAATTAAGTCAACAAGGTCTCTAAATTTTTAGAGCCTAGAAGGGGAGTTTCTCATATACCTCACATAGTCCCTAACCTTATTAACAGGCTTGTCAGATTCCTTTAATCCATCTTGCAACACCAAATTAAGGATGTGAGCAATGCATCTCATATGCAAATACTTAGACATCAAATTCTTTTTGAAAAAACCTATGGCAGTATCATTGCTTGAAGCATTATCCACAGTCACAGAAAAAACAGACTTTAACCCCAACTTAAGTAGGCAAGTTTCCAATGCCTTTGATATATTTTCCCCCTTACGTGAAGTTATAGGTACAAAGGAATTTTTATTTTTTATTTATTTATTTATTATTATTATTATTATTTTTTGTGTGCAGCTTCCCCTCACTGTCTATGAAATGTGCAGTTATGCACATATAATTGATTTTTTGCACAGAGGTCCAAGTATCAGTAGTGATACTCACCCTTTGACAGTTAGTCCTAAAGAAATTCCTAAAATTAACCCTCTCATCAGAATAAATCTTCAAGATATCTCTACTCACAGAGTCACAATCCATCTGGAAGGAATTTTGAACCTAAGACAGCAAACAAGAACAAACTTCCTAAAACCTTGACCCTCAACAAACCTAAAAGGTAGCTCATCAACAATAATCATTTCACAGAGAGCTCTCCTAATCAGCTCTTGATCAAACTTCCTAAAACCTTGACCCTCAACAAACCTAAAAGGTAGCTCATCAACAATAATCATTTCACAAAGAGCTCTCCTAATCAGCTCTTAATCAAATACCCAAGTCCCCAAAACCCCTTGAGCACCTTCAAAATCAGTTAATATAGAACTAGGGACAAGAGAGAATGTGAGAAGAGATTGCCTAGTATCCTTAGAGTGAGGATTCTTTAGGCAACTTAATATGTGATTTCTCAAAGAAGAAGTCACATGTTTCTTGGACTCACATGCAAACATTTTTCAACAGTATCAACACTTGCCTTTGATGACAATGTCATCATTGTTCTTAATTTTTTCAAAGTGATCCCATACAAGAGATCTGGTTTCAACCCTTTTTTTTTTTTTTTTTTTTTTTTTAGTAACAAATGGAGGCAATGGCTGTTGAGACGTATCCCTCTCTGTAGCTCCTGCTTCCATATCATGTTCCACATTTTGCAGAGAAGGTTGACCCAGACCCGCCAACACTTTCCATCTATGTAATAGTAGGAAAGTATTAGTAAATAGGAATCCATCATTTTAGATATTAGGGCAAATTCATCATTATTATTTATTACACATATTTCAGTTAATTGCATATTTCATCATGTATGCAGAATTTCACATAAATGATTTAAGGGTCACATATCCATAAACTTCAAACTTGATACTTGCACAGTTTCTCATTTACAAGTTACAATTTGTAACTTACAAAGAAATTCATAATCAGGCATTTAAGCTAATAAGTAGCATACATCTACTTTATAATGCTCATCATTTATATGGATTTCAGATACAGGGGCTCGGGCCTACACCAAATCATGGGAAATTATGCCCCAATTAATTAACCGTTTAAGCCTTTTAAGGGACAAGTCAGTGACATGCAAATCTAGAATCTGGAACTGCTCAAGAGATTCACAGTATCATATATATATACTTTATAATGCTAATTATTTATATGGATTTCACTCACAGGGCTGACAGGGGTTAGAGCTTCCACCAAATCATAGAATCACAACAACTGAACAAAGTATAACAAATTGCACAACCAAGTGATCAACTAATTAATCAATGGACAAGTGACATGCAATCTGGAACTTCTCAACAGATTCGCAGTATCACAGTCCATAGAAATGATACAATCATAGAATCACAACAAAGTATCACAAATTGCACAATCAAGGGACAAGTGACATGCAATCTGGAACTTCTCAACAGATTCGCAGTGTCACAGTCCACAGAAATTAGAATCATAGAATCACAAGTCACAACAACGTATCAAAATCTATAAAACTATAATATAATAATCTATAAGATTAGGGTTTAGATATTACTTCATTTCTCCAAATTAAACCCCTGCAATCCACCGGTCAGGTCAGGTCACCGTCTCTGCGTCTCACTCTCACAGCACCGGTCACCGGATTCAGGGGCTACCAGAATAGGGCTTCCACTGACTGACCGAAGAGGCGAAGACTAATAGCTTCCACCGGAGAGAACTGAGAGTGAGATTGAGTAGAGAGTAGAGAGATCAGAGAAGAGAGAACTGAGAAGGCTCTGAAATAGAGAAGTCAGAGAACGAGAGAGTTCTCTAGAAGGGAGTGGAAGGTGACTGCACAAATGAACGGTAGAACTAGGGTTTTAGCCCTTCATCACATTATATATAGTCATCCCACATGACGTCGTATACTTAAGGCCTTACCTACCCTTACCCTAGCTCGGATATTCGGACGGGTTCGGATGGCAAATATAGCCCCCTACTCGAATTCGATTAACCGCCTTCTATCAACGCAACGGATCATATATGGATGTTC